CCAGCTACCTAAATTATTTCCATTTTCTCACTTTGTATAATTAGACTTTCCTCATGTGTTAAGATTGCAGGTCGAAAAAGAGAAAACATGCATATAAGCTTTGAATGCTTCAAGGATTAGCCTAACACTTGTATTTAGAGTTCAACAAAAAAGAACAATCACATTGGTCATGATCAAAATCTGCTAAAAATATATTATATAAAGTGATTCATTTAACCTAATCAAGTTGAAACCAAGCAAATAAAGTTTTTCTGCATGAAACCTCCCCAAGAACACGTACACAAAAATGATTAATAATGAACTTTGGCAAGATCAAAATCATGCAACTTGCTATTTTATGCATTTTATTTTTATTCTCCCGAGTATGAAGGGATGGTTGAATAGAAACAGTGTTATTTACTGTGTAATTAGTTAGTCAAATGTACTTTTCATTATTATAAACATTAATTGGAAGAGAAAAGGTGGATTATAAAAGGCAAAACAAGATATGTACCCTTACCTAACAAGTGTATTTCAGCAAGTCCAACTAAGGGAGGCCAACCTCCTCACTTTAGTACATGATTGGATACAAAAATATCCACTCAAAACGAACTTTTTTTATTAATCGTAATTAATTTTGAAAAATATGATATAGTTAATTATTAATGAAATTTTGAGTTTATATTAAAATACTTTTAAAATAAAATAATTAACACGACAATCTATTGTAAGAACCCATGCCACTCCAGGTAATCAAACTGATTTGGTGTAATACTAGGAGATAGATGATATGAAGAGATAGTTAGTTAAAATTATGTGAATTAATAAATAATGAATTAAAGTTGATGTGATGTGTAAGCAATATTGATTGAGATTATTTAATTATATTGATAATATGAAGGATGGCGAAGCTAGGTTAAAATTGCGTTTGATTTTAAATATAAATTGAGTATGAATTAAGTTATTTTATATACAAATAGTCATTTTCTTTCTCGATACAAAACACAAACACAAGACAATAAGTTTAAAAACAATTATAAAGATAAATAATACGTGTTGCAATATCACTTGTGAGTTGTCCCACATTGATTTGATAGGATAAATGAGTCTAGTTTACAAGCCTAGTGAGTTACTCCACCCATTACCAATTAATTTGGGGATGAAACCTAGGCTCACCCTCTTATGGTGTGCTTCACCTGTGTGGAACCGCACTCGTTTTGCCCCCGTTTGACAATACACGTTAAGCACGGACACGACATGATATGATAGAAAAGCTAAAATAATATTATCATAATTATGATAAAATAAAATAGACCATAAGAAAATACAATATTGATATAAGAACACAACACGATAGTGTAATTGCCGTACTCCTAATCACAGTTAATAATAAAATTTATTAATCAATTTCATTCATTGTACTTTTGTATCCTTGCAATTATTATTTTTATTTAGTTATTATGTAAACTGGAATATGAAAGAGGCTATTATGTGGATTCAATTTTTTTTTTTTTATCATCAACNTTTGGCAAACCACCCCTGAATTATGCGGGTTTGTCAAATTGCTCGCTATACCAGGTTTAAGTCCGGTTTCACGTCATTGAAACTGGTTTTTTGAGGGTATTTTAGAAATGTAGTATATTTAAAAAATAAATAATATAAAAAAAATTTGGAAAAACCAAATGTCGAGAACTTCTGCACTCCGTCACCCTGCACTCTGGTTTCCATCTCAATAACTCAGATTTTCGGGCTTCAACGCGTGCTCGGGCCGGACGAGAATTACCTCGAGCACAGATTATTACGGCCGAACGAATTCGTCGCTGCCGCCGCCATCGCGTGGTGGAGCCGAAATTGGGGAAATTGAAGAAGAGAAGCACGAATCCTCCTGATCCAAATTCGTCTTCTCCAAGCCTTGGCTCACGCCATTATATAAAGACCTCGACGACTGTGTATCTAATGCGGTTCTCGAGGCTGATGAGCAGGCCGAAGTTGCGGAGGCCGACGTTTGGGTCAATGGCGACGACAAAGAAGCCGAGGCGCGCGAGGGAGAGGCTGATGTTGGCGGTGGTGGTGGTCTTGCCACTTTTTCCTGAGGTGATGACCACGCGCAGGGAGTCTCGCCGAAGAGCTGCACCTTGCGGTTGTGCTGGAGGAGGGCTCAGTTTGGGACGGCGGTGGCTAGGGTTTTGAGTTGTGCTGGAGGAGGGCTCGGATTGGGGCAGCGACTGCGGTTTTGGTTGGCCTCCTGAGGAGATTTTTACGGCTGAGGTGCGGCAGCAAGAGTTTGTCAATGGTGTTGAGGGTTAGTCGATGAAGGCGTGTTTTAGGCAGATCTTTGAATTTTTTTTATTATTAAATGAATAAAAACAAGGGGCTACTAATTGAGAATTTGATAAAGAAGTGGGGTTAATTTGTTATATTTGAATAGTCTGTAAATTATTATTTTGTCTTTTGGGTGTATTTGCAATATTTTAAAAATTTGTAATTTCCAAAATGTCCTTGCAAATCAGTTTTTTTGTTACAAAACCATTTCAAATACGGTTTTGGAGGGTAAAGTGAAAAAAAACGTGTAATTTATATGATGGTTTGAAAAAAAAAAGTTTATATGATAAAGCGTCAAAATCATGATAGTTCGGATGAGAAAAAGTTTTCTACCCACTATTATTTGAGAAGAATTGCCGTTTTGATTTGTCTTCGTATATATTGGCATTTATCAGATAGTAATAAAAAGGCTGGACTGTATTCATTTAATATTCAAAACCAATCAATAACACTTTACAAATATTGGTTACAATATAGTAAAGTTTCCTTGCATACGTTCATTATTGGTTTAGGTATTAAAGGTGCACAATTTGGATGTATCAATTAATTTATCTCTATAAGTTCCATTTCCATTTCTCATTAAACTAGTTGAGTTGTAAATCAATTTCATACACAATGGACTCCCTTTTAATATTGCAAATTCTTTTATGTCCACACAAAGTTACTTTGTAATATTATTGAACAAGGTTCGAGACGAATAAAGGTCCCAATAATGGGACGTGCATTAATTAGAATTTGCCATTGAAACAATAATATTTGATTATTTGACAATATAAATTGCACATGACCATTCATATATATTTTCATACATATATATCCCTGTCTTAACCACCAGATAAAAATTGACTACCAAACTGAACGATCACTCGTTTTCGATCAATTTTTACCATGTATTCTTTATTTACTGGTTTTTCTTTTATCAATCCAACCAACATTCNAAAAAAAAAAAAAAAGCAATCACGTCTATTAAAAAATTATATAAACAAAATATAATAGTTGTGTCTGTAAATTGATAGCATTATTGACATTTGGCTACAGTTTTACAAATTGGTCTTGTTTGACAAGCATTATTGACATTTGGCTACAATTTTACAAATTGTTCTTGTTTGACAATTAGGGATTAGTTATTAGAGGTTGAGGGATTTTATCAACTGTTTTGACTAAGTGATTATGTTAGTTATTTTGATCAATAGATTATACTAGTTGTTTGTAAAAATTAGCCTTTTGTTATTAGTTGTTTTGACTAGTAGATTATATTTGATAAAATTAGCTTTAATTTTGTTATTAGTTGCTAACATATAAAATTATTGGCATTCATATAATCTAATATATGTATTTTTTATGATAAAATTATAATTATTAAGAAAATAAAAAATGTTTATATTAAAATAATTAGAACATGATTTAATAATAACATAACAACTAACATTAACCCCAATCTTTTCAAATAAAATACCTATTTTGTTATTAAATCATTTTTTTCTTCTCTTCTTTTCTAGTGGCGCGATCCTCTTTCTCTTTTATTTATTTTTCCAACTGAAATTATAAAAAAATGGTGGTTAGTTGAGATTATTTTAGGGTAGGAGAATGAATTTAATTTCAATTATAAAAATGCTCCGAAAAACCAATGCAATAAGAATGGATATGTGAACATGCATGTAAGGGTTGAAGCGTTTGTTATTCAGTGAATGACAAAAACCTCCAACCTTTTGTCAAAAAGACACATTTATCAAACATGGCTAATGTAAAATTACATTGAGTGATATTTAAAAATAAAATGGAAACTTAATAGTACAATTAGCGAATTTGAGATACCCAAAATGAAAAACAATCCACTTCTTATGTCAAACAAACATTAAATTAGCGAATTTAATATATATTGATATGGCTTAAGTAATTCGTTCAATTAGTTTTTTTTTTTCCTTTGGCATAAATAAATACAACACAAACATTAGACCAAAATGCTAAACATTATTCTCCTACATATATATGCCCTAAACATTCTAAGATGTTTCAAGAAACTTTATCAATGTACTTGCTTTTGGCCCTTAATTTGCAGCAATCCACATCTCCACATGTGGAATAATCACAACACCAACATACCAAGCATGCATTCAACACTTTGTACAATGAATACAATATCAACAAACAATTATCTAATTCAACCATTCCCCTAAGTGTAAATTCAATTTTTCNTATTTCCAAAAAAAAAAAAAAATAGAAATAATAATGTATAATTCCGCGCACGACCACCCATCGATCGATGCCCCGCCCACGGACGATCACATCCCCGAAAACGACCCCACGCACCGCGTCACCATTTGGTTCAACGACCGTGTCCTCGTTTTCGACGAGGTCCCCACGCAAAAAGTCCAAGCTACCCTTTTGGTCCTCGGGGGATTCATGTTCGGCCGAAAACCCGAGCCACCGCCCGACGCCAGAATACCGGACGCCAGGCGACAAGAGTGCCTCAACAAGTACCGTCACAAACGAGACCGGAGGTGCTACGAAAAGAGAATAAGGTACAACGTGCGACACGAGGTCGCAGTCCGAATGAGGCGAAGGAAAGGGCAGTTCGCGCCGAAGAATGTGGGCCCGTCGGGCCCAACCGAGGAGGAGGGGGTGATCGGGCCCTCGCAGTGCGGCCACTGCAGGATACGGGCCGGGGAGACGCCGATGATGCGGAAGGGGCCCGACGGGCCCAAGACACTGTGCAATGCGTGTGGGCTTCATTGGGCCAGCAAGGGGCTGATGCGGGATATGTCCAAGAAGATTTCGCCAATGGGCCACCTGCCCATTTATAGGGATGCGTGTGATGATGGTACTGAGACTGAATACTGAAATGTGAAATGCCGATTTAGTTTTCCTTTTTAAATTGTTTTTTTTTTTATAATTGAAATAATCATTGTTACAACTCTTGATCATGCTTGTTACATATATTTGCAGTATTTATAATAATTATAGTGTTAGTATATTATTATTTCTCTTATTAAAATGGAGTAATGAACATATCTATACTTATATTAAAGGGGTACTATTTACTAAATATAGTATGTAGAATAGTCAACCCTAATTAATGATTTGCTATTTTTATCAATCATTTAATTAATGCATCTAATATTTTTGGTATGCAAATCAACTTAGCATTTAATTAGTTCCTAAAATATTGGGTATGCAATATTAATTTAAGAATATCTATGTAGTTCCTAAAATGTAGGTATGCAATACGTAAATGAAGATTTTTTATTTTTTTATATATAAAATATTGCAACACTTACAACTATTTCCAGTTATTTTTTTATTTTATTTTACATATAAAATTTAATCAGCATTTAATGCATCCTACAAAATTGGATTTAGTTTAATTCTCCATACAATTGGTTGTAACTTTTTCAGTTGTACTTTTTTTATTTATTTATTTTACACTTTTAAATTAATGAAGCTCTCCGAAAATACCAAATCAAATGATTTATGAAAGTTTTTTTTTTTTACAATTTTAAATCTATATACTTAGCTTAAAAAACTCATCGCATGGACGAGTTTAAGAAAATTTCATAACCCAGCTTATAAAATTCTATCTCCACGAGTAAAAAAAATCACATCCCTCATCTATCGTAACAACTTTAAACGTAAATAAATAAAAGTCTAATTACTACTATAAATCCATTATCTATATAGATTTTTTAAAAAT